GCCTAGGTATGGGGCCTGCCTCCTGCCACCCGGGAGCAGGCCTAAGCTGGCAGGTCATTATCTCCCAAGGGGTCCCAGACTGCAAGAGGGCACAGGCCAGTCTGAGGGACCACCTTCCCCCGAGTGCACACGAATTCGTGCACCGGGCCTCTAGTTAAATAATGAAACCACTAGTGTCCTGAAGTCACTCATAAGGAAAGGCCACCTTGGAGAATCAGAGCCCTGACAAAGGGTGCTAAAATCTGTAGGAAACCCTTATCCCTCCCCACACCCTAGCCTACTGCCTCCCCTGCTCTGCACTTCCCTAGGCAGCCCGCTGCAAGTGTCCAGTAAGGACAATGCATGTCCTGCACATAGCAGAGGCACAAGAAATACTTGCCCACTAATTACCCCTCATGCCACACCATCAAATCACTCTGCCTAGGGATAAGCAATACTGGAAATTATGATTATTGGGCTTGAGGACATCTTATACTGGGAAAAGCTGGTTTTAAAATATCTCTGGAAGCAAAAACAAAAAAATCCACCAACTCCTGAATAATGGTTGCTTCTTTATTCTTCTGTGAAACTCAGTCACAGGTGAGTTTATGCACACACCAGCGCACATGTGTGTGCACGCACACACACACGCTCACCACCAACCCTAAGTAGTATAAGGGGACTCATCTGAAATCAACCGTATTTATAGAAGTTATCACCAATGCCTAAGAACAGGTCCATAAACATTGAAATTAGTACCCTTTCCTCATTAAAATACATGCCATATTTAATGCAAATTCATATTTCAGAAATGAAGGAAGAATTTACATCTTAGAGCATAAGTTTTGACAAATCCTGTAACTAACAGTAATCAGAACATGTGTACCTCATGGAGAAGGTGAATTTCTAAGCCAGCTCTAAAGAGCTAAGACTGATTGCTTTCTCTAGCAGGTGTGATAGCCAACCATTTCATTCACGGAGTGGCAATGTTACAATACTTTATCTCACAGGCTGTTGAAAATAAATGAGCAATATAGGATCAATAAGGCACAATACCTCCTAAATGATACCCTAATAAAGTTACACATGGAGAGAATTATGCAGAACAGAGTGAAGAAGGACTTTAACAAATTAGTGAGCTCTATATAATTGTAACTACGATTGATGGTGAACTATGTGTAAGAAATTAGGACAGGATTAAAATATTTGAGTTGATCCTAGGAAAGAAACCAAGATGGTGGCATAGGTAAACACCGGAGTTTGCTGCCTCGAACAACCACTTCAAAAATACAACTAAAAGACGGAACGGACATCATCCAGAACCACAGGAAGGCTGGCTGAGTGGAAGTTCTACAACTAGGAGGAAAGAGAAAAACATACCGAGACTCAGAGGAGGCGCAGTGCTGAAGTAAAATACTAAGGTTCGGAGTGCATGCGGAGCGGGCTGGGGGCTGAGGGCACGGTTGTCGTTTTCAATCGGGAGGGAGTCTCAGGCTCTGAGCTCCAGCTCCGGTTGAGTCTCTAGGGACCCAAACTCATATGGGAGAAGTGGGACTGTCTGGCATCGCTCAGAACCCTAGGGCAGCTTTCTCTCCCTGGGGCTTGCAGCAATTACTGGGACACTGAGAAACAGAGCCTCTAAGGGCAAGACTGAGAGGAGCCATAATTGCTAACCCTGCCCTGTTGATCCCGTGGGACCCGCCCTGCCCAAGCCCTGCAGGGAGACTTTTGCTGGATAGCCTCAGGCAAAGGCTAGATTAGCACCTCCCTAGAGAT